CACTACATCTATCACCATCACTGTCTTCTGGTCCTTGTCCACCACCACAGTGTCTGGTTGATTGCTCAGTACTTGCCTGTCCATCTGGATCTGGAAGTCCCACAGGATCTTAGCCCTGTTATTCTCCACAACCTTCTGTGGAATCTCCCATCTGGACTTGGGAGGGTCTAGCCCATACACTGCAGATGTCCCTGTACACAATGCCAGGTACTTGGTTGTACCATTCAGTGTATGCTGTTCATGCCTACATCTTACACCCTGCCACTATGTGTTGGACTGTCTCTGAGGCCTCTCTGCACAGTCTGCACTTTGGGTCCTGTCTAGTGTGGTAGACCCCTGCTTCTATGGATCTGGTGCTTAGCACCTGTTCTTGTGCTGATCAGTGCCTCAGTGCTGTCTTTTAGTCCAGCCCTTTCCAGCCAATGGCAGGATTTCCCAAGGACAGCCACCTCAACTATCTGTCGATGGTACATCCCATGCAGGGGCTTGTCTTTCCATGGCACTTCCTCTGCTTGAACTTCCATGTCTGTTGCTGCCTTAGGCATTCTCTTGGCAACTTATCTTTGGGTGCCATCTTACTGATGTACTCCTGGATACTCTGGGTTTTGTCCAGGACAGTGGCTTTCACATTCACCAGACCCTGCCCACCCTCTTTCTGACAGGGGTACAGTCTCTGGGTGTTGGACTTGGGGTGGAAACCTCTGTACATTGTGAGAAGCTTGCAGGTCTTCACATTGGCAGCCTCCATGTCCTCCTTTGGCCAGCTCACTATACCAGCAGTGTTGATGGTATGGATGTTCTTCCCATTGAGCTGGATAGATCATTTAGCGTATGTGCCTTGTAGTGTAGAGAACAAAATTAAACACTACCTTCATATAACTCTGTAAAGTACACAGCAGAGAGCACATGGATGAAGACACCAAACAGCCAGGGATAGTATTACATAAATCAGAAAAGGAGCAAGTAGGTCACCTTATGTGGAGAATTACAAAGTTAGCATTCTTCTGTGGATAATGTTGCAACCACTTCTCCTATGACACAAATCAAATTTACTGAAAAAACAAATTGAAGAGAGAAAGGTGGTTCTGGCAATGGATCCTCAGAGACATAAAGCTGTCTCCAGAATGGACTTTGCTTATTCTTCCAAGCAATGTTAGTGGCAAAATGACATGGAAATCTCTGTAGCATCATTTCCATTAAGCATTTTTTTTTTCTTCCTAGAGTTTTTTCCATAGCTGCAGGGTCCACTTTTTTTTCCAGATCAACCGAATGTTGATCCATTGGTTGTCACAGGAATTGATCGACCAGCTTGTTGCCCAAGCCTGATTCGTGGGCTGAGAGAGAGTGACTGGTTCAAAGCCTTTCCATTAGGCATCTAGCTGATATAATCCACATGGGGACCACATATCATGAACCTCATCTTCTCCAACTGCATTATTCCTTTCTCCCAGATATGTTTCCCACAGCTCACAGCTGAAAAGAGAGAGATTCCCAAGACTTTCCCAGTCCAGAAAGATGGTTAATCTTCCACCTTTAGCCCACAGACTTTAACAATGCTAGTTCAGGACAATGGAGCTTAAGTCCAATTCATTTGGAAGACAAAAGATTCTGGAAGGCTACTCTAACCTACTCTAACTTCATAAAAGGGTTCGACAGCTGAAAATCTCTTTCAAAATTAATTTACATATTATGTCTTTCCCTGCTCGACAGTGCATCCGCTTGTTTCTGCCCAGCACCGGCTTCAATGTGACAGAGATTATTTAATAGACAGCAAAAATGAAACAAATGAATATTTAAGAATTATTATCTTGAAGCATTTGGGTGTACTTATTTGATCAATCAGAAAACAATGCACTGGCATTATTTAGATAGCTAAAAAAAGTCAATAGTAACCTGGGTTTGACCATGTGTTAAAAAAAATAAATAAAAACATGCCAGGCCTAATTGAACTTGGCTAATCTTGAAAAGCAGAACAGGGCCAGACATAGCTAGTCTTGCACAGGAGACTAAAGAGAATTAACAGGGCAAAAGGCTATATTGGAAAGTCCAAACACACAGAAATAGCAAACTATTTACATCTTGTTGCCGAGAAAACTACATTCAGCTGCTTGGACTATCCATGAAGTCACAAGCAGCTGAACTTAATTCAAAGAAGGTTTTATATAGAATGACCCAACTACTCACAATTATTTTAAATAAAGCCAATGAATTTCTTTGCAATACAGCTTCCTGACTCTACTCATCTAAGAGATTGATTGTCAGGACATTATAGCAAACCAATGTGTAGTCATTTTATGGATTGCTTGGGAAGGAGAGAAGCATTTGTATTCATATATGCCTAACGTCACCTTTTGCTTATAAGCCAAATAATGGAAAAAATAATCACATGGGGGACACAATCCAATAACCCATGTGATATAACTCAGAATATTTCAACTGGCAAAGATGAAATCTGTAGTTCAAAGAAGGAGGATGGCAATAGTATAGAAAATTTGATGATGTGCACGCAAGTTCTAAAGTTTTTGAAAAGGCATATTGTAACATCAGTGTTTCCTAGTAGGCCATTGTCTCTTAATGCAAGGAGGAAACTCTTTTTGTACACAAGTTATTTCTTAAGTAAAATATATAAACATAGAATTTGTTTTTCAGAACCATAACTGTATAACCTACTAACCTTATCTAGGTGTTTTAACAGTAGTATCAGGGATATTTACAAACAAAAATGTTAATCTTGTCAGTTTTTAGGATTTCTTTATCTTGAGATTTTCTTTATCATGAGCGTAAGTAAGTATCTGTCAGAATGGTCTCTCTTGAGCTAGCTTGTAGGAAAATGTATGTAATGGCTACTGAAAGAACAAAAGGAAAAAATAAAATGTTTGTAATGCACAAGGCCCAAGAATCTGTTTCCTTTACAATATTTACCATGCATTTAGTTCATGTATTATTTAAAAAAAAAAAAAACATTTGCAAGACTAAACAAGACTGTATAAATTGAGTAAAGCCACAATGCAGTGTTTGGAAAACGCAACAGTGGCCACGGGATTGGAAAAGGTCAGTTTACGTTCCAATTCCAAAGAAG